ATTCCTGGGTTTAATTTCTCTCTCAGTGGGCACTCTGCATCATTCTCAGCCTCCTCATTTTAGCAACAACAAAATACATGTTAGCAAAAAATAGCTTTAAAAAAACAAACCAGTCCAGTTCCCCAGTAAAAAAAATTTCTAAAAAGTACTGTATTTCCTCTAGGGTAATTTTTCATTTTTAGTCGGTTGTTCACTACTGTAAAAAAGAAAGTTACAAACTACATACAGGAGAAATAGCTTCAGGACCTGTATAACTCTAAGGCAGAGTTGTGTGAAATTGTCAAACAACAACTCTCTCAGGAGCTTCAGGTGTTGGGGATTATTCAGGAACCGTTTCGCTCTGGGCAATGCTAATACAGCTCGGCTCCAGATGAAAACACACCTCAACATTTAAGCTACATTGCCTCTGACTAACCCTCCATACAGTGACGGCACTTCTCTTTTCAACATAGAAAATGAAAGGAAAAACTGAGGACATTATATTGGCAATTTTGGTAAAACAGAATATCCCAGATAGAGAGGTGAAAGGGAAGGGTGGTTTGAACTATCCAGAGAGCAAGCTGAGTTCTCAATTTCACTTTGCCAAGAATACAAAGCATTTTATAAATGAAGTTTACTGAACAGAGATTTCCAAATATTATGTCTAGAACCTATGAGTAGAAAACCCCCTAATCAATTCTCTCCTTGGTATCTCAGTAAAATGTGGCATTAATGGAGGCTGTTTTAGTTCTCCTGTGTTATTCAAATTTGCAGAGACTCCTCTGTTTACCAGTGGGCTATCAGGCAAGAGACTCTCACAAACATGGAAATATGATTGATGTTTATTCAGTTTGCACTTCTTTTGAGCCTCTGGAGCAGACAGGCCAGCGTCGTGAGAAATATGGGCAACAGCTACCAAAGAGTCTACTTCTGTCTCCTCCCAGTGAACCCGTTTCCACTAAGAAGGTGACTCTCCCAGTGTCCAGCACATCCCGTCTCTGCATTTACCCCCTATTATCTCCGCTTTGCTGTTTTATGCTCTATACTGCTTCTGGCCTTTTGTCACCGCTGATGTCACCGCTCACTCTGCTCCAATGACCAGCCTGCAGGATGCGGGGCCATCAGCACTTGGATGCCAGGCCGCCTGCCCGGTTTCTCCTGATGGTGTGTGATCATTTGGTGTGATTTTGGAGCTCATCATAAGCTCATGGACTTATGCCCCTGTCTTTTCTCTGTTTGAGCCATACTGCCAGGTAATATAAAGGAGAACCCTATGCTCGTAAGCCCCTACTTCCAAACAGTAAATATTTCAAAATCATTTTACTTGTAGACTGTCAAACTTTGCAACATTTTAATTTGTTCATTCCCTTACTATTACTGGGTTGTTTATCACTTGGTTTTCAGCAGTGTGACACATATTGATGGTGTGTTTGCAAGTTTACCCACTGTGATGGCTCATTCTGTGTCGATCTGACTGGGCCATAGTTTGCCCGGACATTTGGTCATGCACTATTCCGGGTAGGTCTATTGAATTTTTCTGGATGAGACTAACATTTGAATAAATGAATAAAGCAGATTGCCCTCCCTAATGTGGGCAGACCCAATTTAATCAGTCGAAAGCTTGAACAGAACAAAAAGGCTGAGCCTCCCATGAACAAGAAGGATGGGACACTGGTTTATTCCTGTGTTGGACACAAATAAAAAGGATGGCTCTTTTGTGGTCTTCAGTCCACTGGCTTTCTAACCAGAAATACACCAGCAACTCTCCTGGGTGCTCATGACTGCAGAATAGAGACTTGTCAGCCTCTGTCATCATGTAAGCAATTTCTTAAAATCAGTCTCTTCACACATGTCCTATTCGTTCTTCTCTGGACTATCCTGACTAATGCATCAGCTAACTCTGCTACTTGTTTTTTTTACCACCCAACTATATTGTTTTCTAAATTACAAATTTAGATGATTTCATATTAAATATCTCTGACTAGTACACTTGAGGAATTTCATTCTCAAAAGCAATCAATCTGTGAACAGCTTGCCTTTTTTTCTTATAAATATGGAATGACAGCAAATGTGTATTGGCCTAACAGCCCCCACTGTCATGATAGAAGGCGCTCCATCTTGTTCCATTTCTCTCCCACTAAGTGCTCTCGGAAACCCTCAAATGATGACGCGTATGTTTTCACAAAAAACAGTCTCCCATGCCTTCTCCTGCTCATGACTCAGGAAGTTTACTGCTTTACATTTTCCACAGCTGACAAGGCCCCTTCATGAACGATCATGTCTATGATGTTCCCAAAGCTAATTGCCAATTCTTGAGGACCCGGAGTAGTACTCACTTCTGTAAGACTGAATTCTCCCTGGGTTGGGAAAAGGATTTCTCCTTAACTCTGTGTCACATCCCAAACAAGGGATGACAGCTCAAGCCTGATGGAACTGTCACGAGTGACTATGCAACTCTGGGCAGGAGCTGAGTTCCTTGTCTATTCAGTTTTGACTTTGCCCTCAAAGTTTGACAAATTGCAGTCTGTTTTAGTGAGAGCTCAGACTCAAGGTAAAGTGTACTATTTTCTCTACCCTCTGCTGACCTCATAGATATGTCTCCCAACACAGGGCCATGGCTAAGAAGGAAGCTCAGTATGGAGAGGTGGGCTTCGTGCAGCTGCATTCAGAGATCACTGCCCTTCCCTGTTGCATTAGGCATTTTATTTTAAATTTAATCTTCCTCAATGTTTTTGAAAGAATAGAAAGGAGAATTATCTTTTTTGAAAGAGTCACTATTTTAACAAAATTCATTTACAATTATTTTATTAAACAATCATTTTTTACATGTCATCACACCTTACCCCTGAAGTGCAAACAACAGTCTGAGGTATTAAAACTGAAGGAACATTTGCACAAATCTGTAAGGTTTCCACACTATAGTAACCAGAATATTTAGTATAGCCACATACTACAAGCAACTGCAGGTTTGTAAGAACAAAGGTATATAAAACAGATCTGCTTTGTCTCATAATAGCTCTGATTCTCCCACTTATGCAGAAAGGGTGGCAAAAAATAATATGAGATTTAAGTTGCTTGTGAGATATGCCTGTTATTCAGTTTTACAGTATGGTGTACATAAGTTAAAAGGTCAATAGCTGAAACAGTAGCCATCCTAAAACACAAAAATCAAACTGACAAACTAGTGGCAATGATATTATGTCCTATTCATAGGATTTAATCCTCAGGCCAATGGCAATTCACTTAAAGTATCTGAAATAGATTTTCCAGAATATTTCAATATGATCTACATACATTTAGGGTCACATAAGTACCATTGTCCATATTTTTCTTTTTGCACAATTTTCCCTTTATATTAGAAAATAAATTTGCTAACACAGATAGAGTTCAGAAGGTCACATCAAAGTTATTGTGAAATATCACAGAGGAGATTTGCTCTTTAAGTAGTAGACTTAATATTGAAGAAATTATCCAGAAACTTTCCAGATCCCATGTCAATCTGACTATGCCTACACCTTGAAAGAGAAAGTTGAGGCCATTATATAGCTAAATATTGTAACATAAACACTTTCTTCTGAACTATTCAGCCAAACTGGATGAAAGGCGCTTTTTTGATTTGATGATTGATTTAATTATTAATTTAAGAGTGTAGATACATACAGACTGGCCCATGCCTAAGAGGAGGTGGTGGATAGATAAAGGAGGTGAAGGAATCAGCCAAAGAACATATATGCATACCCCATGGACACAGGTAATAATTTGGTGAAGGTCAAGGTAGGGGATGTGGGGGTGGGTGGAGGTAGACAAAGAGGGTGAAAAGGGGGGATACCTGCCATAATGTCAACATTAAAAAATGTTAATAAAAAAACAACAAAAAGAATTCAGATACTTTATTTGAGTCAAATCTAAAATTGCATAGTGATTTGCATGTAGTGTAGTAAATTAAGTACTGAAAAATGGGTCACAAATGTTGAGTAGAAATTATTTTCTACAGAAATGTTTATAGTTAACACAGCATTTCTAGGTTTTGGTATTTAAATTGTTTTATTTGTTCAATTGTGTGGCTATCTTGATCAAAGGGAAGGTTGTTTTTTGTGTGTTTTCTTCTTGTAAGAACAGAGACTGCTTAAAACTTGGCTTTTTAAAATTTTAGCAAAACTGGTAAAGTGTCCAATGCTTCTTGCAGCTTATTATTAGAAGAAAATACTGTTTATTTAATAGCAATTATAACACTTTCAAGAAGACACCTTTAACATAAAGCCTCCTCCATACTATTTGTTTTGTCAGCCTCAGAAATTTGTAGGAAAGAACGATATTTTTGGAGACTCCAACAAATATATGCAAAATACATTTAACCTATTTTCTCTTTGTTCTAGGGGAGAAAATTTAAAAAAAGACCTAGATCGTTAAAATCCCGCACAAGAACATTATGCTTATTTTTGGGGACAAGGTCCTCTTCCCACAACTACAGCTTGCTTTTCCAAATAGTAGTCCTTGAGTTAAGAACAATCATTGCAATTGTCTCACTGCTGGAAGCCCAGCTGCTGGAGAAGAGCCAACACACGCTGACATGGGGCAGCTGATCACAGCCAAAGGAATGATGGTCTATGGTCACTGAGTATTGTTCAGAGGTTGAAAACTATTTTTACTGTTTGACCAGAAATGGATACTCCACAACATTCCTTCCCAACTAGGAAAAAAAAAAGGTAAAGGGATTAAGCAAAATAAAAAACCAAAAAACTCAGACACTGTCAAGAGTATGGTGATTTCCAATGGGAAAGAGGGTGGAGGAAGTAGAAGAGAGTAAAGGGGGGATAAACAGTGATAGATGGAGACTTGACTAGGGGTGGTGAACACACCATACAATATACAGATGATGTATTATAAACTGTACACCTGAAACCTATTTAATTTTATTAATCAATGTCACCCCAATAAATTCAATATTTTTTTTAAAAAAGATACATTTCCCAAAAGTTTTTCTAGAAAATAATGTTGATTTGGGAAATCAGTCCAATATATCTCAGGTATCTAAATTGGCCAATCCAATGAAAGTATATCCCCAAGCTGAAATAATCTGGAATAAAACAAAAACAATTTTCATTTCAGGACTGTAAATCTAAATGCCAGTGCATGGGGTTTTAATGCTTATGGGGCAAAATGTTAAAAAAAAATTCCTTTTTTCCCCTTCTATTCCAATCTTTTATCTCTATAACCAATAATCAAAATTGAAATAAAATAAAATATGACTTATCCTGTAAGATATAAATCCTGAATATTATTTGCTTGTTGTCAGTATAATCATTGGTGCCATACAAATATGGCTGACCACATCCATAAGAGACAACAGCAATATTATCAAAATTCTTTCACTAGCATCACGCTGAAGAGCTACACTGTGAATTCTACCAAACCTACAAATATCAAGTGCTGGCTCACATTCATTTCAGATGGGACACTGACTGCGGTCTCACAGTGAGCCTTCTCTCCAGAGCAAGAACCTATTACAGTCAGTCAAAGACTGGGTTTCTTATGCCATTCAACACCAAACTATTGGGTGCTTTCTTGTGTAGAAGGGCCAGTGAGCACAGGAGTAGGGAAAAGCTCATGACGCCCAGAATGACCATTCCTGATATCAGTGCACTGGTGACGGCATTCAGCTGGAAAGGAGGTGCATTTGGAGAACCTGTAAGTAATAAGACAAACACAGTGGAAAGCCCAATGTTAGATTCATGTTATCGCATCCCTAAATATATGCAAAACATCTGCCATCAGTATCTTATAGAATAACAGCATGACACTAGATCAAGCAACAATCTATGTGACTATTTTTTAATTCAACAACCAAAGGATTATATTGTTTAGAAGCTTGATAGCCACAGGGTAGCAAAAAACAGTAATAGGTCATCTATAAAATTCAATAAAAATTGACCAATAGGTCACATAATTCAGAAATCCTCAGTGAACTGCTATTTAAAATATAACAGACTTATAATATATTTACTTGATTATGAATTTGCAACTGATGACCAAAAAAACTTTAAAATTAAAAAAAAATCATCATTTTAGCTTCAGTATATGTTAATTATCTTACCAAGCTGTGAATTGTTGGTTGGAGTCTCATCTGGAAGGGGAAAAAGAAAAAAAGAATAGCAATATTATGTCTCCAAATATTTGTCTATGTTTATTATAATTCTATAATTACTTTTTATCAACATGTCTCCTCACCTTCACCCATAAGCTCCATGGGGAAGGCAATCGATAATAAAAATTCTCCTAAACAATTCTGCTTTCCAATTTTCCATTCCACATGTGAAAAATTTCATCATTTATTTGTTTCCCAAGCCCATACACTGCCACAAATATAATTGCAAAATATACTGTTCTGTATTCTTTTCTGCCAGCTTTGTTTCATCATTATCTCTTTAGTCATGTTAGTGGGGGCAGTAATTGTTAACAGTTATTACATTTTTTATAGCCCTATATCCTGCCATTTGTTATTCTCTTATAGAGAAATATTCATTATTTAGTGCTGCTCTATTTTAAGTGTTGCCAATTTGCCCATCGTAATCAGCAAAAACATCATTTTACGTTCCAAGAAGATAAATTCACACTTAATAACTAACTGAAAGGGAAACATGAAGTCTGAGCTTGAGTTGTAGGTTAATTTGCATCTAGGAAGCTGTTGATTTTTCACTTTTTCCTGGCAAACATAATAATAGATGCAATGAACACATTTACTTGGCTTCACTACCTGTTTGGTAATCATATAGCAATTAACCCTTGGAGCTTGTACAATAAGTGAACTTTGTATTTGTGTTTAAATATGTGGTTGTGTGTGCATTTGTGACTGTTATGTGAACCATAAAATGAGTGCAGTTGACAGATTTTGGAGTATAAATATTATGACAATTAATGTGTATGTAGTGCCATACAGTTTACAAAGTGCTGTTTTGGATTTTATCACATTTAATCCTCATAATAACCATATGGTTTGGATATGATTGCTACCCCCACTTTACAGATGAAGAAACTTCCATCTGTCACAGCCTCTTTGATAAAGTAAACATGTGTTCAAGTAAAGGCTCAGTTTCAGCATCCTTTTTCTAAAATAATGTAAACTAGCCAAGTATGAAAAAATATTTTTAGTCAGAGATGAAAATCTCAAGCTTCAAAACTCTAGGATTAGCATTTGAAACCATTGATGGGAGAACTTGGTGAGCTATTTATAAAATATCTGATGCCATTTCTTCTCAGACATGTGAGTCTTGGCAGAAGTGATGGTTCCTCTGTTTGATCCCTGAAGAGCAATGCCCAAAATTAATGGAGCACACATTCTCGGGAATCTTTAGAATGGTGCGCTGCATTGCTATAGGACAAAAAGAAAAACAGCTCCAATTTTCCTTAGAAGGCACCCTTAGGAAAATCCTAACCTCCAAGCAACACCATTTTATAGACGCTTTCTTTTCATGGAAAGAGATGGGATGAAGGAACTGTGATCAATTCACCCAAAGGGTCCATGTGACTCTTTCTTAAGGCAAACTGCCTCCCTGGAACATGGAGGAGAATATATAACACTCTAAAATTTTTTCTAATAGTTATTCTTTGTTTAGAAATCAAACTCGTTGGCTCTAAAACATGTTCCTTTAAAAAAATAGAAAGCTCCTTTCTCCTCTATGTCCCAAATTAGGCAAAAGTACCCTAACTACTTTCTGCATCCTGAGGTTAATAAGAAAAGTCAGAGTATCCTCTCCTCTCCCACATTATCTCCAACATTTCTATAAGAACAATATCCCAGTGTGCGGAGCCAGCTCAGCCAAGGGTTCACAAGCCTGAGTGAGGGCAGTGAAGGATGAAGAAATGACAGACAAAGAGAATAAGCTGGGTGTAGGTGGATCTTCCTGTGCCTGGCTGAAGCCACAGAGAGAGATCCAGAGGCAAGCTGAGCCTTTATTTTATAGCCAGAGGTAAACAAGGTAGTGGTCACCATAGTTACAATGTTCTTGTGAGTTTCACTTGTTTTGGCAGCACTTGCTGCACCTCCCACAGCCCATTAGCAACCTAGGATGGACCTAGGAAGTGTCATAAGGTCAAGCCTAATTATGCTAAGAAGACTGTGCCCTCTAAACTAGGACTTGTTTGTGGCTTTGCCAACAGGTCAGTCTGAGGCTTAACCCAGTAGCCTCGCCCTACACCCAGGTGTCACCCACGGAGACTTGGCTGTGAACAAAGTATCTGTGGGGACAAAAGGCCACATGAGACATACCAGCTCTAGGTTCTAGGACTCTGAAACTGGAAGCATCCTATGTTTGGCAGATGGCTGAAATCAAAGCATGTAATACTTGAATAGTGTATGGAATTGTATTTGATAGTGGATAAATGTAGAGAAAATAATTTGATCTGGCTGCTGTTTCTCATGCCCAGCAATATAAGTATCATTGCAATTAAAAAAAAAAAGAAAGAAATCAAAGCACCATTGAGCCCAGAAAGGGGAGGTAGACATTTTCTAGAAAATTTTTGTCACCACACACTCCTGTGTATTTTTTTTAAATTATTTTTCTATATTTCTGTTAAACCTCACCCAAGGACATTTTTCCATTGATTGTTAGAGAGAGTGGAAGAGAAGGGGAGAGACACAGAGAGAGAAACATGATGTGAGAGAGACATATTGATTAGTTGCCTCCCCCACACGCCCAGACAGCCTTTCAGTTTCCAGGCCGGTGCTCTATCCACTGAGCCAAAGAGGCTAGGGCCACACTCCTGTTTTTGTTTGTTTGTTTGTTTTCATGTCCTCTTGTTATTAACATAGACATATATGCCAAAATATACCTTCTGGAATTAGATCAGATTAGAATACTAAACTTGATGGGTTCTTCAAAAACACAACGTTAGCTGAGGACCAATAGGAGAAAAGTGGTCACAGTAATGCCACAGCTGCTCCAAAGCCACAAGTGGCAGATAAATTATCATTCTCTACTTTTCTCTCATATAAGTAGTTGAAATAAATGGGGGGAAAAGAACATTAGTACAAAAATATATGCAAAATGAATAGTTTTCTTTCTTAGAGCAAGCTATTTTTTAACATATTTTTATTGATTTCAGAGAGGAAGAGTGAAGGAGAGAGAGAGAGATAGAAACATTGATGAGAAAGGCACATCAATCAGCTGCCTGCTGCACACCCTCTTTTGGGGATCTAGTCGGCAACCTGGACATGTGCCCTGACTGGGAATTGAATCTGGGACCTCTTGGTCCATGGGACGATGCTCAGTTCACTGAGCTACACCAACTGGGCACAAGTTATTTTTTTAAAATTTTTCAATTACGTATGTAGTAAAATGAACCACATATTTCAAGTTCAGAGCCTTCAAACTTCTTACTTTCCACCCTGTTATTTTTGTTCATAGTCTATCTATACCTTTGAACTCTGAGACCACTGAGAGCAAAGACTGTGGCCTGTTCTCTATTATATTCCAAATTCCTACCAGAGTGCCTATCCCTTATAGGGGCTAAATAAATTCACTTAGGTGAATTATTAACTACCCAAAATACCCAGTGAGAGTAGTTGAACAAGAGGTTGTCTTGGACTTCTCCATTGGAATTTATGTAAATAAACTATTTGTTACTATTGTTTTTCAGTGATGATACATTTAAATTTCCAGAATTGTACCACATGATAAGCATTTTCCTACCAAATAGTTTTAGTATCTGGGATCTTAAAGAATAACACTTCAGAACTTTTGTGGGTATTTGAATTTTGAGGATGTAAATATTTTCCTTAATCTACTAACAAAATGATTTAATAACGTTGGGTAAAAATAACCAGAATGGATTTGATCTCATTAAAACACAAAAACAAAACAAAAGTTCTGAGGTTTATCATCTTATTAAACTTGACCTAAGCCAAATGTCTAGGGGAAAGGAGTGGTTCAATGAGTAAAAAAAAAGCAAAACTTGCAAGTATCAGAGAGGTTTGACCAGAGCAAATCAAGCTTGAAATTGGACTTCTCTCTATAAAATCGGCCATAGGATCTGGAGAGATAAATTCTAGCTGACCTATGGTAAAAACAGAGTGAAACTAAGGAAGGAAGGTTGCCTTGGTCATTAAGCAGGACATTAAGTTTATATTGGATTTGCCTGAGGATGGATACAGCTTGATTTCCTGAATTCTGGGTTTACGTGGAATTTAAAATATTATTTAGTAAGTAATTACATTATTTAGGAAACATTGTTATATATGGTCCTCTACACAGTGAGACCACCGTGATCACCAAAAAATGAGAAACATCCTATTGCTATTTATCTAACTTAGGAAAAATAAATCCACGGAGAGTGAGAGAGGAAGGAAGCGGATCTGTAATGTTTGAACATATCCTTTGGGAGGTTTGCCAGTGGAGAGCCCAAGGTGACTAAGAGACAACCTCATTGTGTTGGGAATAAATATCACCCATGAGGTAAAAGCACGTTGAACTTAGAAAGGAAGAAAACCAGCATGGCATCAGTGGTGTTGTGATCTAGGGCATTACTTCGTTGAGTTTTTAACATAGATTGAATGAATAAACCTGCAAACCTGAATCGCTGGTTAGCTATTTAGAAACTTCTACTTGGTGATCTATAGAAAATTTGGTCTTTTTGAAAATTATCTTACACTAGCAAATTATTTGAAATGTGTAATATTTAAATTAAAAAATAAATAAATTCAATTTGGTTCCAGTAAAAGGGAAGGCAAAGAGGTTAATAAGAGGAAAAGCCATCTACTCAACTTTCAAGGTTCTTTTCTTTCTTTCTTTTTTTTAAAATATATTTTATTGATTTTTTACAGAGAGGAAGGGAGAGAAATAGAGAGTTAGAAACATCGATGAGAGAGAAACATCGATCAGCTGCCTCTTGCACATCTCCCACTGGGGATGTGCCCGCAACCCAGGTACATGCCCTTGACCGGAATCGAACCTGGGACCTTTCAGTCCGCAGGCCGACGCTCTATCCACTGAGCCAAACCAGTTTCAGCTCAAGGTTCTTTTCTTACAGCAAACTAACACTAGACACACTCTATAGAAATAAAAATATTTTTATTGTACCAACCCCAAAACATTCCTAATCATTGGCAACAAGAGCTGAGTTTCCATGCAGTGTGATTATAGAAGCTATTTCAGACAGCTAAATAGAGATAAGACTTGGGCCTTTTATAAACCACCAACTAGTTCTTTTCAAACCATTCAAAACACATACCAACCCTCAGGAGTGTGGACTAAGTCTGAAATTTTATATTTAATAAATGTATGCATTATTTAAAAGGCCTGTTAGCTTTTATTAATGCTATGTCAATATAAACACAAGGGAATGAATAAAGCAATCGTGTGGATTTTTCAAGCCCAAACCACTTTTTGCTTAATTACCTACTTCAGGCAAAAAAAATTTTCACTGTGGGTTGGAAAAAAAGGTAAAGATAATCTAATTGAAATACAATAATCGACTTATGGCTAATATAAAATAGAGAAAAAATATTACAACATAACCCAAATCAGAATTCTGCTTTTTAAGACAAATTTAGAACTATAGATTTAGAAAGAATCTTTAAGGCTATTTTTATTTAAAAAACCTTTATTTTAAAAATGAAGGAACATTTGCCCACAGAACTGAAATAAAATTCCCAAGTCACAAAGCTTGTTAGGGCAAAAGATGGAACTACTCAGGTTTTTTTTAATTAAAATTTAATTTGTTTTGTTTACACTGCATGTATGTTTTATTCTGGATGTCTCTGGTTTCGTGCTGATTTATTAGTAGATTCATGAGTATGAAAGAGTACATTAGACAGGGTTATGTAACATTCAGAATCCTGGGAGAAAAGAAAGGGTATGCAAACTGGGCCATTTAAGGAGTGTTTAATAGACTATTAATAAAAATGTAGAGAATTCCCAAGAGAAAGTAAAGTTAATTGGGCAATGGGTGAAGGGGAGGGACAAGCTCTGAGACCAGCTCTGTGGAGAGAGCTGTCTGGCAGGAGCTGGGTGGACTTCACTCCCATTCTCTGACAGCGCCACCTATTGGCCAAGCCCAACCAGAAACTGGGTGGCGAGGCCCCCTATAGGCCAGTCTTCAGGGGCAAAGGGCAGGGCGGGGAAAGTAGAGTGAATTGGGAAGGGCAAGTGAAACTGTCCAGGATGGTATACTTTCTGTGTGTGTGTGTGTGTGTGTGTGTGTGTGTGTGTAAAGGGAAATGTGATAAAGACAATACTACCCTTTGTGTAAGTTGAGTAAACAGGAAACTACTGTGAAATTAAAGTTGTTTGGCAGTTTATCTTGTCTTACAGTTAATTAGCGCTCTTTAGGAACCACTTTGTGTTCTCCTTAGAAGCCAACTAACAACCCATTTTGTAACCGACTATTACTACACACAAAAGGAGGGGCCCTCTTACCGCTCCGCGTGATGATGGGCCCCGCAGAGAGGATGGCATTTCCAGAAGTGCTCTGGGGGCTCCAAGTGGTCCTCCTCCCTGCATCTCTCCTTTCTCTGTGGCTGCAACTCTGAGGAGTTAATGAAAACAAATGAAATTCCACACTGGCACGAAATTGTTTCTTTATGGCCATTTGGAAAGCAGATTCTTTTAGAAGAGATACCACATGTTTAATTTTATTCATTTACTTCTGTGCATTTATTTAATTACTTTACATATAACTGCTACAGTGTTTCTTATCCTGGCGTGGCCACATTTCTTATTTCCTCCCATTATAGTAGCACATTGCCTCATTAATTTACACAGCTCAGTGGCTCCCCTGAAAAAAAAAAGAGCTGTGTTTATCAAACTTTTCCTCTTTTATTTCTCTCAAGCCTTTAATAAATCTTTCCCTGAAATGTTGGTCAGCACAGAGCCCAGGTAATGTGGACTCTCCATTTAACCCCATCTGCTATAGCTAGTTAGGACTAAACTAGTCTATAACGATAAAGAAATTCATGAATTTGAACATAAATATAAACACACTAAAGTCATTTCATATTATAAAATGTGCCTGTATTTTTCTCAGGTTAATATTGACGTGACCCCAAGAAGATCTGTCAGCAATAGAATTTTTTTTTT